AATTAATACCAATAGTGTTTAAGTAACCATAGAACATACCCCAGTAAGGGGGTGTATCTCAAAACGTTTATCATTTTTTCTATCCGATTTTTCTTGCCGCTTCTACCTACTGGACAATCATAAACTGTGACTCATCTATCTTAGGAAGCGTTATACATTGATCGCAATGTCGATTTTCCAATAAACAGTGTACATACATAACCTCTGATTTTAACATTTGTAATGGGACGGTCGCACGTGTCAGGTGGCAAACGCGTGAATTAAACAATTTCATAGGGAACAACGCCCCTGTGAAGGACGCCAGGAAAAGCGCTCTTTCGAGCTACCTGGGGCCTTCTCGGACGCGCCTAGGCATCGGTGGAAGTCGCTCCTTTTGTCCAGTGCGACCCACGCCGGCCGCACCCCATGCGCGTGGCGATGGATAACGGTTAGCGTTTCGGACTGTTGCACCCAAACCCGTTCAAACCCGATCGAAGCCGTGGATTTTTAAGGGCGAAAAAATCCTTCGTACGCCTTCCTTCGGAGGGGAAGTAAAGCCGGCTGTCCCATGTTAGTAGATTTACTTGCATGTGTAAGATCCGCAAGCCTAAATGACGCCTCTGAGCTAAATTCAAATCGCCTGTTTCTCGCCCAAGAAATACCTCCTTTCTCCGCTAGTTGGTGAAAGGAGCGTAGCGAAATTTGCGTGGTCAGACGGAAGAGCAGGCCTAATGGCCTGAGTCTCGCCACGTAAAATAAGGCATTAATTCAATTCAATTCAATGACACATCGGGAAGAAAGCCTCCCGCCCCCAAATCGCGCGACGCCGCCGTCGCGCCCTTTTCCTCGGGATCCGTGTGACGGTGGTGGTCTCCCAGAAATTGCGAAGACGCGGAGAAACCGCAGCACGCGCGCCCACCACTCGCGAGAGCGGAATGTGTGTGTCATGTCCACGCGATCCGCAAGTCTTCCTGGCAAGCGCGGAACGAACGCTCGACATCTAAATGCGTGGTCCGGCTCAGCAAGCCACTGCGTTCTAGTCAAAGGCTCCACCAAGCACCTTCGCTTCTTAGTCAAGCGCTCCACAAGCCACTTCGCTTCTAGTCAAGGCTCCACAAGCACTTCGCTTCTAGTCAAGGCTCCACAAGCACTTCGCTTCTAGTTCCAGGGCTCCACAAGCACTTCGGCTTTAGTCAAGGCTCCAGCAAGCACTTCGCTTCTGAGTCAAGGCTCCACAAGCACTTCGCTTTAGTCAAGCTCCACAAGCACTTCGCTTCTACGTCAAGGCTCCACAAGCACTTCGCTTCTATCAAGGCTCCCAAGCACTTCGCTTCTGTCAAGGCTCCCACAAGCACTCCTTCTAGTCAGTCACAAGCACTCGCTCTACCAAGCTCCAACTTCGCTTCTAGTCAAGGCTCCACAAGCACTTACGCTTCTAGTCAAGCTCCACCAAAGCACTTCGCTTCTAGTCAAGGCTCCACAAGCACTTCGATACGGAGCCAGGGCAGTCCGTCTCTGGTCGCCCGAACGCCGCGCAGCCATCGCGCCATCTCAGACCGACTCGTGTGACAATGGTAATGGGCCGTGTCCGCTAGCGCATGACTGCGAGCCCGGAGTGACGACGGGCCGGGGCGCGAGCGACCCTGCCATCGCCGGGGCGATGCGCTGTCGCCCGCCCGCTGCGCACCGCCAAGGCGCCAGCCGGCCGACGAACGCTGCTAGCGTAATCCGGCCCAGGGCCCGGCAACTCTCCATCAAAATCGGGGACAAAGCTCGAGGTTGCTACTATAGGAAGCGCTAGTGTCGCCGGGTGCAGCTGCAGGTTAGGCTCGCCAACTTTCCCACATACAAATTGGCTAATTTGTGAGAAATACGAAAAGTGTCTTCTAAATGTACAATTATTCATAATCTCTACTTGTAAGAAACCTCTGAAGAAAGCGCGAACATAGACGTTATCTTTTGTAACATTATGGTCCTGCTTGCGACCCGCGAACTCACGCAGCAGTCACGCACACGCACGTTTAAAGTATCGTTGGTAGCAGTTACTGTTTTAGTTCCTGTACAGAAGGTGATGCAGAAGAGCGCGCCACCGTAATGGTCTCCACCACGTTATATGGGAGTTATAGGGCCCTGATCCCGCCCCCCGAGGGCCGCCGCTGACCGCCCGGCCGCCGCGCAAAAGGACCTGGGGGAAGGTGCCGCCTGTGGCCGCCCCGCTGCCAGACCTGCCAGGCGTTGCGGCGCGGGGCCGCCGCTCCCGCGAGCCGCGCCATTTTCTCAACTTTCCCCCCGCCAGTAACCCTGGCGAGGCGGAAGTTTATTTCCTTCTTGGGATACAACATACGCCGCAGCTCTATGGCTTATGCGGCAAAAAAGGGGGCAGAACTTACTAACTTATTTCTAACTTAACCTATTGATGAAGCCGGCACTTTGGCCGGCAACCTAAGATTAACACCAGACTATATTCTTCTTCAGACTTAATAATTTTAATTTTCTTTTTTTTTTTTTCATTCACACGCACATTCACACTAGATTACATGTTCACTTGACACACGCACTTTCATACGACACTATATACATCCTAAACACTATTTACACTATGTGCGCCACGGCGCCGACTTTGCTCCAAGCGTCCGCGGCGGCTAGGCACAATGTGCCCTGGCAATTGTAACGGGCGGAGCCTCACCCGTCCCGCTGGGAGCCTCACGCCGCTGCTCGCAGAGTTCTGCGAGAAGCTGCGGCGGTAGCGCCCGGAACGTGGAGGCCACTTGCTTGGGCCCTCTCGGCCCAAAATACGTCCGGTGGACCTCACAGTTCGCTGCCCGGCCGGTTTCGCGCAAGAGCCGCGGAGCTTTCGGGCCCACCGCCCGCGAGCCGCGCCACGACCGCCCGACAGGACAACGCCCAGCGAGCTCCGATGAACTCTGGCCATGCCGGCTACCTAAGTTAGGGCGGCTTCCCACGGCGCGCTTTCTTCAAGGAGCAGAGCTCTTCCGACGCAGCCACCGCCGGAGCCACAGCCGCACCGCCGCCCGCCGTGGAAGGGGGTG